AGGTGCAGTATCTCGGTCGTTTTGTGGATCATCTTTCTGATCGCACTGCACCATTGCGAGCGTTGCTGAAGTCATCAACATCATCTTTCATCTGGTCTCCGGATTGTGAGCGGGCATTCGGGGATCTCAAAGAGCTATTAACGACTCCTCCGGTTTTGGCATATCCTGACTACACTCGACCTTTTATTTTGCGCGTGGATGCTTCTGACATTGGTCTTGGAGGTGTGTTGATGCAAGAGAGTTCGAGTGTGCCTGGTCAACGCCATCCTATTGCGTATATAAGCCGTACATTACAACCAGTGGAGATGAATTACTCCACAACGGAGAAGGAGTGTTTAGCAGCAATTTGGGGTTTCGAGAAACTTCATGCATATCTACATGGTTCTCGAACGTTACTTGAAGGTGACCATGCTGCTGTTACTTCATTATTGAAGCGGAAGAACCTGGTTGGTCGTACTGCTCGGTGGGCTTTGAAGCTTCAGATATATGATTTTGATGTTGTTCATCGCCCAGGGAGTTCTATGGCTGATATTGATGCCCTTTCTCGAGCTCCTCTTCCTTCTTCACTCACTTCTCATGTTTCTGACGAACCTGTTGTTCCAGCATCTGTGGATTTTCTAGACGAGGATTCTGTGCCGTCAGCGGTTGCTGTCCTTGATGTTCAGTGTCCACAAGGCGCAGAGTAAAATCTACCTTCTCTTGATGATGTTTGTGAGGCTCAAAAGATTGAGCCGTCGATTCAAAGGCTTCGAGATGGGTTTGAGAATCCTGCATCACTTGCTGATGACTTGCCTTTCCGGCATTTACATTCTCAATATCGCCTTGAAGATGGCCTTCTTTATTTTGTGGGGACGGATCCTGAGGATCATTTACAGCAGTTGTGCCTTTTGTCTTTATTTCGCGGTTTCTCCATGCCTACCATGATTCTTTTGTTCTAGGTGGGCATATGGGACACCGTCGTGTTCTAGGTGGGCATATGGGACACCATCGTGTAACCGAGAAGTTGCGGAGGTCTTTTTACTGGCCGGAGATGCAACGTGATGTTATCCAGTATGTGCGTAGCTGCGTTTGGTGCTAAGCTCGTAATACTCCCCCTCGTGCTACGGAAGGACGGTTGGAGTCAATTGTGGTTTCCCGTCCATTTGAGTTGGTGATGTTTGATCTTATGGGACCTTTTCCATGGTCAACTGCTGGCAATGAATATGTTATTATTGCTTCTGACTACTTGACTCGTTGGGTGGAAGTTGGTGCTCTTGCTAGCGCCTCTGCAACTGTTGTTAGCTATTTCCTCCTCAATCGAGTGGTGTTCCAGCAATCTTGTCCAGAGTGGATTCTTTCTGATAATGGTCCCGCATTTATGGCTGAGGTATTTCATGTTTTGACATCTCGGTTGGGGATACGCCACACTTTCACGAGTGCTTATCATCCACAATCAAACGGTCTGGTGGAGCGGCTCGTTCGGACATTTAAAGGGATGATTGCGAAGTATGTGAACTTTCAGCATTCAGATTGGGATGGTTATTTGCCGTCTCTTCGGTATGCATATGTCACAGGGGTGTAAAGTTCTGTTGGTGGTTCACCATATAAACTCTTATATGGTCATGATCCAATATTACCAACGGAGCTGGGTTTACCTTCGCGATTGCTGTGAGCTGCCGATGCTAGGTCGTGGGATCAGTATTTGACGAGCATTCTTCCATTTGTCTAAGCAAAGTCTGTCGAACACTTAGGCCGCGTACAAGTAAAACAACAATGGCGCTACAACTCTCATCATTGTCCACCTGCGGAGTACAAAGTGGATGATTTGGTGTTAGTCCGTTTTCCCCATCTTACGGTACGTGGTTTATCTAAGGGACTTCTTGCACAGTGGAAAGGACCGTATCAGGTGTTGCGGCAAGTTGAACCACAAGTTTATGAGGTTCAGCATAACATTCAGCAGGCCGATCCTCTAGAGATTGTGCATGTGCAGCGGCTGAAACGCTTCGTACAAAGGGATCAGGAGCAGTTAATGCCACCTACAGATCCACTAATGCCTCCTCTTGATGTTCCTCCGGATCCCGGCCCATCTACAAGAGAACCCTGATGGTCTTCCATTATTCCAAGAGAAGGGGATGATGTGAGGGCCAAGTGTACGGCTACGATTCCATATACTAATATTAGCGTAATGGGATTTTGGTAACCGTCGGATTGGTTTCAATCTAGACCACTCGCTCCTGTATATAAGCTAGGGTTTTTGGGCTAATTGATATGCACATTTTTTGTATTCCCCTTCCATATTCCAAGCACTCACATTATATATATATATATATATATATATATATATATATATATATATATATATATATATAAAATATTACAAAGGGATAAATTATTTTAAAAATATTATTTAAGCTTCAAATGTTTGAATGTTGTTATTTTTATTTATTTTAAAGCACACTGATATTTATTTCATATATAATTTTTCAATATTTTGGATGTTGTTATTTGCTTATTGTTTTTAACTTTGTTATTAACATATGACCAAGTATATAAAATAAAATTCTTATAAATATCTTTATAATTTAAATTAGTTATGTTTTATTGGTAAATTACTTTTTTATTAATTTCAAAAAAAGTTGTACTTTTTTAAAAATAAATAACTCCAAATAACACTCAAATAATGCTCAAGTAGTAATATTGTTTTAATTAGGAGCACTATTGGTTTAAGTTTAAAGATGATTAAAAATAAAAAATCAACATTTATCACCCCTCTAAACATTAGTGCTATCTATTAATTATTAATATCACAAAGAATATATTAAGGATCACAAAAGGAAATAATTTCTAAATTGTTTATTAAATATATATAACTGATGCAATCTTCTTTGAGAGCGTAAAATTTATACTATGAGTTGAAGCACTTGGTTGATCTCTCTCACCACTCAGTTTTGGCACATTTCCAATCACTTGACATAAGAGGTTTTGCTTTTAAGTGGGAAAAATGAAATGGCCCTCTACTTCTAGAAGCTCGAAGCCTTCTGCTGCCAAAGGTTGATGATATCGGTGGCCTGGTTGAGAAGGATAATTGTACGCCTTCGTGAGATCCACGGCTTGCTCTCGAGCTTGGCCTTGAGCTCCTCCCACGCATCCTTCTTGGGCCAGAAGTAAAACGGCGACAGTGGAATTGTACCATGGCCCGGCACAACTTGATCCAAGGCAATTCCAATGTTCTTCTCCATCCAAAGAAATCGTAGCGACAATATCTGCTTGCCTGCGGACCTTATAGCCAGCTTGTCTTTCTGGCCAAAACAAAAAAAAGAAGATCAAAGTTGGATAGACAAACATTCCTCGTACCTTGGATAGATTGTCCGAGTAAACGCTGCTCGTGGGCTCAGGAGTCTCTTCTTGGGCATCCTTCGAGTCTTCTTCATCTCCCACAGCCTTGGGAGTTTCAGCGTTTTCTTCCAAGGGAGCAGCGTCGTCCGAGGCTGAAGCTCTCAAGGAAAGCATCCTCCGTTGCCTTCTTGATAGCACTAAGCTTCCTCTCTGAGTAGAAAAGCAACCCAAATTCACCTGAGAAGGTCCGCACGGCTGAATGCCCACTCCCGGCCAAGCCATCGCCATAGTCATCGCAAGCGATAGCCCTCGCACCCTCACGATTCGAACTCCAGACCTGCTTTGGAAGATAAGTGAGAGAAAGACAAAACTCGCTTGCGAAAAAAATTCTACACTGTACCAAGATCAAACCACAGAAGCTTTCTTCGAGGTCGACCAAGAAGGTGTGATTCCGCTGGAGTCTCCTCGGCTTCGAAAACAAAGCCAGACTTCGTGTAAAGTTTGAAAGCCGGCTCGTTGGATGTCACAACGTGAACGTAAAGATCACTCACACCTGTAGCAGCCAAGGCGTCAAAGGTCTGGAAAAACGAGAAGCTCTTCAGTACCCCATTCTCTGGCAGTCCGTTTTGCTTCGCGAACTAGAGCCGTGCCTACACCCTTTCGACGTGCTTCTTGAGCGACGCAGAAGTTTGAAATGTAGGCACGCTTGTATGCTGGATCAGAGTCCTAGAAAAAACAGTAGAAAACGTGATACACGATGGAAAGAAGAAAGGTTCTTACCTTTGGTCGAGAGCCAGATATCTCACCGGGTATTAGTCGACCTCGATTCACATCAAGTGTACCAACAACAAGGAGATCTTGGCCAGCAACAGTCACCTATATCATCACTCAATCATCCTAGAGCTATCAGCCACCCAAGGAAAAAAAAGATTATAGATAGATAGATGGATCTATCATCTATTTATCGGTCTATCTATCCTAGAGCTATCAGTCACCCAAGACAAAAAAAAAAGAGTATAAAACAACCAAGAGTTTACCTTGCAAGCTTTGCGAATCTCGTCTGTGGAAGGAGGAAAATCTTTGAGTGGAAGTAGCGCGACTACGCACGCCACACGACCGAAACCATCCTCGGTTCCAGCGATCTTGGAGGAAAGAGTCTTAAATTCGAGGGAGGCCATATACTTTTGGTGTGCCTGTGAAGAAACAAAGAAAAAATCGTTAGAGAGAAACGATCGAGAAAATCTTTGTGAAGAGAGGAAAGATCTCTTCGAAATCTACGAAAGAAAGAGGCTGCGTTGCTATCGATCGACCATGAAATGATCAAGAAGAGATATTTCTAGACTTACTTCTTGTGCTGCGATGGAGCGTCCCTCGGGATAGCTGTAGAATGACCTTGCGCGCAAGAATGCGGCCGCCGAGAGCTCCGATTCACAAGCCTGCCGGACGAGGAGGAGCTCCTCTAGCCCGCCGCTGGCGAGATCGCGAAGAACCTGTGAAGAATGCGCGGGAATGGAAGCCCTGGTGCTGATCACGATCCTCGCGAACGGCGGAAGGAGATTTGGAGCGGCGGACGATCGAGGATTCCACAGAGGAGGGATGGATGCGTGGCAGGCGGCGGCAAGCGCCATAGCCAAGATCCTCTTCTCAAAATTTCTCCAGGGCAAACAAGAAATTTTTTAAAAGCCATGGCGGGTTTGGGGCTCAAGCGGTTTAGGGTTCTTCACATTCTTCTCCGGGGATGGCCGCCACCGCCATCGCTAGCGCCATCGTCATCGCCATCGCTATCGCGCAAGGTATCGATCTGCAAGTGTAGCATTTCCTTCTCTACATCTGGCAATCCGCCGCCGCCTCCTGCGCCGCTCGCGATCGCCTCGATCGCTCCCTTGCGGCCGACGCTTTCGGTCATGGAATGGACTTGCAGCCGATGCACGCTTCTCAACAGCGCCGGCGATGCGTGCGCGGTTTGTGAGCAACCGCGGAAGGAAGAGGCCGCGAGTGAAATGCCGGGTCTGGATTCGTGGAACTGCCCGGCGTGCACGTTTCTCAGCCCCGGATCGATGCCTCGCTGCGGTATGTGTGACACTGAGAAGCCCCTGGATCAAGACCCTCCGGTAGTGACCAAAGAGATCACGGCAAAAGAGGAGGTGATTTTGGAGCCGAGCTCCAAGAGGCAGAGAGTGGACGAGCCACAGCCATCGTCCGAGGAAGAGGAAGGCCAGGCCGCGGCTCCTGTCAATCCAGGGCAGTCCTCAAACGCTCTCCTTCGCGAGCTCCATATGGAAAGAATGTCGAGGAAGAACTCCATAGCTTCTTCTGCTGGTATGTATGAGGTCTTAATCGTTTACAAACTTTCACTGCTTTTCTTCTTTAGGTGTGTCAACTTCTTCCACTTCCAAGAACATTGTCAGCGACAGTATCGTTTTTATGACGTACAACGTCTGGTTTCGTGAGGATCTCGAGCTGGAGCGAAGAATGGAAGCGATCGGAGAGCTTATCAGACAGCACCAACCTCACGTCATATGTTTCCAGGTATTTCTTTGGTCGTTCATATCTCTCTTTGCTGATAAGTGATTTTCACAGGAAGTTACTACCAGTATCTATGCGATTTTCCAGCGATCGAACTGGTGGAGTGGATACAGATGCTCGGTTAGCTCAGAGCTCGCGGCAAAGCGAGCTTACTTTTGCATCCAGGTGAAGCTTTCGCTCGCGTTCATTCTGTTGCTTAGTCTCAAGTGCGTATCTTCTCCTTTTCAGCTTAGCAAGCTACCGATAGACAAGTTCTACCGCAATCCCTTCCACAACACGATCATGGGAAGAGAACTCTGCCTGGCGGACATCGATTGCGGCAACAGCACGCAGCTGGTCGTGGCAACAACGCATCTGGAAAGCCCGTGTCCAGCGCCCCCGAAATTCGATCAGATGTTTAGCGCCGAGCGCGTTGCACAGATGAAGGAGGCGCTCGCAACGCTCAAGCCGCTGCCAAACGTTGTCTTTGGAGGAGACATGAACTGGGACGACAAGCTAGACGGTCAGCCTCCTCTCGAGAATGGCTGGATGGACGCATGGACACAACTCCGCGCAAAGGAGGTGAGAACTTTTGCTCTCGTTTTTATGGCAGAGTTTTGATTCACCGTGTGTTCTTTGCAGCCTGGACTAACTTACGACGCAAAGGCCAATCCCATGCTCACTGGAAGCAGGCTACAGAAGCGTTTGGATCGAGTGTTCTACCATTTCCGCGACTTTGAGGTGGAAAGCATCGAGATGATCGGGACGAAACCGATTCCAGGCTTGACGTTTGAGAAGGAGACGAAGAAATCGTTGCTCAAGCTCCCGGTTTTACCCAGCGATCACTTTGGTTTGGTTCTCAAGATTCGCAAGAAGTAGTCGGCATTCCTTGGATACATTGATTGGCAAATCAGTGGATTCTAAGGATATTCTTGATTTGTGCTCTTTAGGATTTAAAATAGATTCTATTTTAATCTGAGGATTATTATTGTGAAATTACTTTTTAAGAATTTAGTACCTTTTGTTGAGATAAAAACTTTTTCAAACTCATAACCTTTATTCCCGAGTTTGAAATATTCAAATAATTAGAGAAGTTTTGCCTAGATCCAGCTTTTGTATAACAATTGAGCCGCAGGATCTGGCCAATCAGAGTCGTCGTAACTCGTTCTTAGAACATCCTCTATTATGGATAATCAAGCTCGAGACGCTAGACAACATGAAAATGCCTTGAAAAGCCTTTGCCTGGGCCTTTGCTTTCACGTAGCTTGGGATTGTTTGCGCCAATCAATGCTGGAACTTTCCCCGAGGATTGAGCTTGGCCAGCCGGGGTAGCTCTCCAATCTCTTTATCTGGGATGGAGCCCGAGAATCTGTTGTGAATTCCTGAGATAGGTGCTATTGCTGAAGGAGGTCTTGATGGATTCTTCTCGTGGACGTCTAACTCTTGGAATAGCTTATTGATGTTGTGCGCCGGCCAACCAGCGGTCGCCACGGTCTGGTCTCAGCGAGTGATTTCATGTTTGGATGAATTCTTCCCCCTCTGTCTTGGTGGCCGCTATCGCGATTGGGACGGAGCCCAGCAGCGATCTTCGCTTTTCTCTTTGCAGGTTCCAGTCACCTGAGAGGAGCGGAATGTGAGAGTTGTTCCGTGTCTCGATCTGGGTATTTGGGCGCTAGCGAGATTAGAATTCTGATTCTGTTTGTCTACTTGTCCAAACACAAAGGTGGTGGAGTCACACCTAGAAATGAGGTTTTTACCTAGCCGGGCTTTGATCTAATCGGGAATTCAGGAGCTTAAGTTCTAGCGCCCTAATAGAATTAAAGACATGCAGCTGATTTGAAGTTGTCTGCTACCTTGCCAAAGAGGATCACAGTGTACAGTGCATACTCGTTGTTGAAGATGATTGAGGAACCTGATCAAAATCTTCTCAGTCGAATTCAGTGAGACTTTTTCTTAGCATTTCAGCCATTAGAGTCATCCGCACCGAGTTGAGTTCTACTCAGACTGATCTGTAAGAAAAAAATTTAAGTCGTCTTTGTGCTTGGAAACATTGCCTTGGATCATATCTGAGAGGATTCATAAGTGGATACTTCGCCTCGTCCTCGCTAGCCTAGAGGCTGCTCAGCCGGTCTTCTCGGGTACTAGCTCCACAAACCAGGGTTCCCTCAAGTGAGTGATATGGCTCCGAGAACATTGCAGTCACTTATGGCTCTGTCACCATTGCAGTCTTCCTCTCGTCCAGGCCCTGGACTGCCTTGGTGATTCCAATTTCTCACCTCCTTTGCGCTGAGTTGTGTCCATGCGTCCATCCAGCCAGCCTCGAGAGGAGGCTGGCCGTCTAACTTGTCGTCCCAGTTCATGTCTCCTCCAAAGACAACGTTTGGCAGCGGCTTGAGCGTTGCGAGCACCTCCTTCATCTGTGCAACGCGCTCGGCGCTAAGCATCTGATCGAATTTCGGGGGCGCTGGACACGGGCTTTCCAGATACGTTGTTGCTACCTCTTTGAGCTCGGCTCCAAAATCACCTCCTCCTATTGTGATCTCTTTGATCAAGCCCCCGGATTTCTGGACCGTGAGGCATTTTAGCTGCGACAATCGGGCCCATCGACCGATATTTCTAGGCGCTCTACACACCTTGCGCGACAGAACTCTCCCTATGGCCCTAGCGCTACTCTGAAAAATGCGCACCGACGGCCCAGAGTGGGTGTGGCGCATTTTTCAACGGCGTGGATTTCACGTGGCAAAGTCGTTGGAAAGGTCTGGTGGCTGATGGTGTTGACTTTTCTTGACTGTGAGATTGGAACTTTAATCTACAAAGAAGGTGCAGTGAGTATGAACCTTGAAAATTGCGTGGAGCGACAAGATTCTCATCAACTCACAAAATACTTGATGGTTGATTGTATTATCAAGCATTAGCATACTTCAAAATATGTAAAACTACAAATCTGGAAGAATAATTTTGAAACAACGTCAACCAAATAATAGAAGAGAGGTTTGGATGACATCGGAATCTTGATCTTCGCCGTCTAAATTCTTGTTGACTATATCATATGGCCAGAATGATGCTGGAGACGATCAAGAAGCTAGACATACTGGAAAATATGAAAATGAAAGAGGAGCTTCGGATAGTCTCCGCAAGCCAACTTCGGGTCCTGCCTGAGCATTTACGTGGAGGCCCACCACACAGCCCTGGATTGCTGGCAAAGAACCTAGACGAAAAGTTCCGGCCAAAACTCGTGAAAGATGACGGAATTGTCCCAGTGAACTGGTTGAAGGAGACGTCAAACTTGGTGAGCCGGGGAAGAACTCCAATCTGTCCGGGAATGGGTCCCAAGAATCTGTTGTGGCTCAAGTCGAGATTGTTGAGAAAGGTGCAATTGTTAAAGGAAGTCTCAACAGATCCCGAGAAGGAATTGTTGTGGACGTCAAAGCTGATGAGGTATGGAATGCCGCAAATGTTGGAGGGAATGGTGCCGTTGAGCTTATTATGTGAGAGGTCGAGAAACGCGAGGTTGGAGCACTTGTCCAGGCCTCGAGGAAATCCACCCGTGAGCCCGAGCCCTGGCAGATCGATTTTATACACGACCTCATGGAAGCAATCGATCCCGGCGAACTTGCAGATGCTAAACGTCGGTGGGAAGATCCACGAGTCGAGGAAGTGCATGGGATCCCTGATCGAGCTCTTGAACTCTTTGAGACACTCGACATCGCTCTGGCAAGAAATTACCCCGAGGAGCAGCGCGATGACGAGCATGCTCGATAATCCGGCCCTGGCCGCCTCCATCGCCGCGAGATTCCAGGAGCTCGACCGATATTTCGAGGCGCTCGACACACCTTGATTTCTAGCGGGACCGCAGCAGCTCGCAATCCTATCCCGCTCGCCTCTCCCGAAAGCCCTAGCCCTGCCGCCTTCTCTCCCTTTGCATTATCCTAGCGTGTGCTCTCATAGCCAATTCCATGAAAAATGCGCACCGACGGCCTAGATTGCGTTCTTCGGTCAAGGCTAGGAATCACTGTATTTCGACCTGCGGAATCACCCCAATGCTTTCTAGCATGTGTTCTGGTCCGCCATAGCCACCGATTGCGTACTTCGGTCAAAACCGGGAATTCAACGCGTGGAATATTGAAAAAATTCTACTTGATTTTTTTGTCTAATGTTTAGACCTCCACGGCAACATCAACTGAAGGTGAGGACTTGCTCTGGGCGCCCGGACACTAGAATTCTTTGGAATTTGAGGACTTGCTCTGGACGTGCGGACGCGCGAGGCAGCTGGATGGATTGCGCGGACCATGGATCTCGGTTGGGCTGCTCGGATCTCATTGCTGGATCTGAGGGAGAATGCGCTTGAAGTCGATTCTCGAAAGTTTGGCGTCTCTATCGGATTCAATCTCTGTTCTGCTTCCCGCTTCGATTTCTTGGATTTTCTAGCGGCTGGGCCGAGTGTGTTGAGACTAAAGTGTTCTCTAGGTGGCAATGGAGATTGAAAAGAATACCCAGGTAATCTTCTCTCCCCTTGGAGAATTATCTTCACGCTACTGCCAAAGGTATGATCTGAGCTCTCGTTCCATTTTTCAAGTTTAAAAGTTCCTTGGGTGGCTTTCACCACATCTCCACGGCTATGACTTCTTCATCATCAGGCAAGGCTTTGGAAACTATAAGAAAAAGTATGAAGCCAACTTCAACCTTGGTATACACACTATTTATGTTGCAAGGATGCATTTTCTACCAGCTGAGCTATCTTCCAGGTAAGCAACTCTTGCATTCTAAACTCCCTCAACAAATTTGTGGCGTAAATCACAAATTTGTATAGTGGTGATTATTACTTTCAGCACTATATAATTCTATATAACCTGATCATCTATACATATTCTGAATGGTGGTCAGGTTTCTTTTATGTTATCTCATGTTGCCAGCTTCACAACATCTACACTGGGATTGTGTTTTTCTTTTGGATGATCTACATTGTTCCGAGGTCAAGTCTTTGCGTGCACTTTTATGTATATATGCTTATATGAATTCCTATGGCAGCAACAGGAGTATGCCTGCTCAAAGCTTCTAAGGCAAAAAACAGTGCAGAATTATGAATTGACCAGAAAGCCGCGGGAGACTGGGGATGCCCGACCTCGAGTCCAAGCTTGGGCCTGACCTGGTCCAGATCGTACAAATAAGAATTCTAGCAAAAGTTTCAGTAAATTTCTAGCAAAACTTCTCTATTAGAAATTTTAATTGATTTTTCCAAACTCGAATTCACAGTGGCAGTTCTCCCACTATCCAAAAATTTGACTGTAGTGCAAAGTTACAATTTGTAACGTCTCCAGCAAGCTCTGCTTTTTGGTGTGAAACTTCACTCCAGCTCTAGATGGCGATGCCATGCCATCTACCACCCTCACCATTTCTTAACGCCCAATGCCAACGTAGTCACAACACAATTCAATAGAATGGATGCTCACAAATAGAGGATGAAATTGTATACTTAATTAAATTTGAGTATGAACAAGCTTGAAAATAAATATATTTAGTTAAAAATGCCTGAAAGCTATGAATTTTTTTATTGATATGAAACTATGCTACAATCATCTAGACATTGCCAAGAATCATAAGCACAGCTCTGATCTCATTCGTTCGTTATTAGCTTGATTGCAGTACCACATTCAGAAGGCATGTCACCTGGATCGATCAAGAGTTTGCTCTTTAAGATGCCGTGACTAAAGCTTCCATCTCCGTACTGGAGGGAGCTATGTAGGCTGTCGAGTTCGTGGCTCAGCTACTCCTATTCTTGCCTTCTTTGTTGTGGTCCCTGTGGATCAAACTCGAAGCCCCAGCCGGGGTCGCTGCATTGATACTATGCTAGATCGCACCGGAGGCGATCGGGTAGATCCATGGAATGGCAGTGACATGAAAGCGCTTGCGCTGTAATCGAGAAGCACGTCCAGAGCACCGTTGAGGAGGTAACAGGTCCCAAGCCGCTCCAGGATTACGAGCCGGTAGAGCAGATC